ATCTATCAGTGATATTTGACAAAACTGGTTTCTGTGTAAAGGATCCACAGACAAATTCAACTCTTCTATCAAGCCCCTGTAGAGATGGGCTATATCAACTTCCTACTGTTTTCAATAACAAGGCTGGTCATCAAGCTCTTACCGCCACAAGTACATCATTTCTTCAATGGCATCGACGCCTTGGCCATCCTCATCAACAAACTCTACAAACAATCTCCAGACAGCACAAACATCTAGCTATTCCTATTTTCAGCAATTCTTGTTCTTCTTGTAAGACCACTAAAGGTCATAAAATTCCTTTTACCAAATCTTCCAATCATCACTACAAACCATTAGAGTTGTTACACATGGATGTTTGGGGACCTTCACCGATCCCTTCTAATCAAGGTTTTCGGTATTACCTTTTAATAGTGGATGATTCTACTCGGTTTACTTGGGCATTCCCTCTATTACATAAATCTGATGTATGTTCTCTATTCATCAATTTTCACTTATACATTGAAAAACAAATGTCTACATCAGTTAAACAAATCAGAACTGATGGAGGCATGGAATTCCTAAACAATCGTCTCAAAGAACACTTGAAATCTCATGGAATACACCACCAAATAAGCTGTCCATATACTCCTGAACAAAACGGATTGGCGGAACGCAAACACCGTCACATCCTTGAAACCACAAGAGCTCTTATTCACACTGCTCATCTCCCATATAAATTCTGGATGGACACTCTATTAACTGCTGTAAATCTCATAAACATGATGCCTTCATCAATCACATTCAATACATCTCCTTATCAGTTACTGTATAGCAAACAGCCCAACTACTCTTTTCTCAGGGTGTTTGGATGTGCCTGTTACCCACTGTTACCAACTCATGCTCGTCACAAATTATCAGTCAAGTCACCGCTATCAGTGTTTCTTGGCTATGACAACTCATATAAGGGATATAAGTGTCTGGACACTACATCCAGCCGAATATACATCTCAAGGCATGTTACCTTCGAAGAATCCATATTCCTGTATGCTGATCAAGTCAGCAACATTACCACACCACAAAACAACAGCATACCAATAAACCCACAGCTACTTGTTCCCGCTTCAATCCAAAGAACAACTCCTTCTACAGCCACAGATACTCCACATCAAACTCAATCCAATACGACCTCACCAATACAGACCTCCATATCTACCAACAATGATATTACAAACAGCAGTGATATCATTCAAATACATCCTACCACTACTACTACAGTATCCGTTCCACCTCACCAAATGCTTACCAGATACAAAACTGGATCCTTGAAACCAAAACAGATGTTCGATCTACATCATTTCATATCTAAATCTGATCCAACAAACTATACAGACGCTTCTAAATTAACCCAGTGGCGATCAGCCATGGCAAGCGAGTTTTTAGCGTTACAACAACAAGGGACTTGGATCCTAGTTCCTCCACCAGCAAATACACCTATCCTTGGGTCAAAATGGACATACAAAACCAAAAGAAACACTGATGGTTCCATCTCAAAATACAAAGCCAGATTAGTGGCACAGGGTAACAGACAAGAATACGGCCTAAACTATACAGAAACTTTCAGCCCTGTTGCAAAATTTCCAACAATTCGTGTCCTTCTCACTCTTGCAATCACAAATTCTTGGCCATTACACCAAATGGATGTGAGTAATGCTTTCCTTCATGGATCCCTCAATGAAACCATATACATGAAACAACCCAAAGGATTTGAGGATTCTCAATTTCCACATCACGTGTGTCTACTTCAAAAATCACTATACGTCTAAAACAGGCTCCACGCCAGTGGTTTAAAACCTTCTCGAATCACCTTTGTATGATAGGCTTTCATTCCAGCGCTTCAGATCCTTCGCTATTCACATTCAATCAAAACAATGTTCAAGCATACCTGTTAATATATGTCGATGACATATTATTAACAGGAACACATTCAAATCATCTTCTGGAAATAATTTCTTCTCTCAGCAACAGTTTTGCAATCAAACATCTTGGTTATCCATCCACGTTTCTTGGCATTACAATAAATTCTCAAAACAATCAGATGTTCTTGTCTCAAACCAACTATATTCAAAACATTATCAATCAAGCTGGTCTATCCAAGAGCAATTCTATATCAAATCCATCTCTAACCAAAATTCCGATTGATATACCTCAAGATATTCTACTATCTGATCCTTCAACATACAGACACTTGACCGGATCGCTTCAGTATGCAACCATAACAAGGTCGGACATAGCGTTTGCGGTAAATACGCTCTGTCAACACATGCACAGTCCGCTATCTCAGCATTTTCATTTACTTAAAAGACTACTGAGATACCTGAAAGGAACAGCAAACTATGGTATTCCAATATCCAAAACAGAGCTCAAACTCACTACATACGCGGATGCCGACTGGGCAACAGATCCGCTTACCAGACGATCCACATCGGGCTACTGTACATTTTTAGGAGAGAATCTGATTTCCTGGACAGTGAGAAAACAGAAAACAGTCGCTAGATCGTCAACAGAGGCGGAATATCGTTCTCTGGCTGCGGCTGCAGCAGACGTAATATGGCTCAGAAGGCTCATGAAGGATTTTCATATTCCACAGGATCAGCCAACAGTGATAAAGTGTGACAATATGTCGGCAATAGCTTTAGCTAATAATCTGGTTTTCCACGCGACTAAACATATTGAGGTCGATGTTCACTTCATACGAGATCACATCACTTCTAATGAACTAAATGTTATTCCCATTAGTACCACAGATCAAATAGCCAATATTTTCACCAAATCGCTTCCTACAATCAGATTTAGAGTTCTCAGAGACAAACTCACTGTTACAGCAAATCCACAGTCAGTTTGCGGGGACGTAAAAACAACAACGAAAAAAAAATTGTCAAGCCCACCCTCAGTTGTTGAGAATTTTGAAAAGAAAATATGCATATTAATTTGTAAAATTATTTATTTTAATAAAATAAAAGAAAACATAATTTATTAAATTTAAAAGTTTAAGTTCTTTTTTCATGAAGTTAGAATCATAACATTATAAAATTACAAGCATTTAAATATAAATGTTAATTAATAAAATATAAAAAGTGAAAGAGATAAAATAAAAGAAGAAAAATATGCACTGTTAGATAAATATGAAAATTAATTTTTTTTATTTGATGAGTGCAAATTTTGGATTAAGGAGCTATTTAGCTTGCTTAAAAATGTATGCTATGTAAAATAAATGCAATATAATATTAAATTTAGGTGTTTGATTTGCTGAAAAAGAAATACAATAAAATTTTAGTAGATTACTCTTTTACATTCTAATTCATTTTTTATGTATCGCAAGCCTGCAATGTTGTCGCCCATCGCGCGTTGGCGTCAGCCAACACTAGCCATTGATTTCGCTGCCAACAACTGACTGCAAGCAATAGTCACCCTTCCACTGCCCTCACCCCTCGGCCAAATGGTATTGCCCAATTTAAGCGTTAGAGCTCCAAGATTCTTCAAGCCTTAGAGCTTTTCTCTTCCTCCTCTTCCCCCATGTGAAAAATTAGATTTTATTTATAATTTTTTTTGGAGTGGCATGCTCAATAAATATTATGAAGATCGAGGGTAGGTTTGGATTGTTTCTTCATATGACCAATATTAATTCTCTTGATCTTAGAGCATTTATCAAACACTTAATTTTTTTAAGAGCCTCACTGATGTTAGAATTTGGCAATCTTAAGCTCGTTAGATTCATCTCGTGGAGCCCCTCGATTCAGTTTTAAGCATGACATATCTGAATATCATTTGGTCATCCAATTAATACTTTGAAGCTTTCAAGAGTGTTTTAGTCCTTTGATTTAAGCTCGGATTGAACTGAATTTGGTGTCATTATATTCATCTTGTTAAGATGTTCAATTTGATTAGAAGCTTGCTGAAATTGGAGTTTAGATGATCCTGAATTTTAATTTAAAGCCCCCAAATCAGATGCAACATTCATGCTTGATCAAGATTATTTTGTTGACGTATCGATGCTCAAATTCGTTCAAAATAAGCAAGTGGCCTAAATTTTTATTTAAAAAAAAAAAAAAAGTTTGCTGAATTGAAAAAGAAATATCGACATAAAACAATGGAATGAAATGATCCGTTCTTATTTTTCTTCTCAGTCTTGACTATAAATTAAAAATAAAATACTATTTTTTTATGATAATTTGATTTATTTTGGTGGAATTTTGAACATTCATAATAGTATTCTTATAAAAAAGAGAAGGAAAAGACCAAAAAGAAATTCTTTTGTAACATAAGCTTTGTTTGGAATGACTTTCTAACTGGTTCTTAAAATAAGCTTTAAATACAAAATTTTTAATTTTTTTATTAAAAAAGTGCTTTAAGAAGCAGTAAGAAAGTCATTTATTTCATTTGAGACGACTTCTTTTATTACTTTCTAAAATAATTTTATAGCATAAAAATTTATAATTCACAGAATTTTTATACTAAAAAATTGATTTAAAAAGCAATAATAAAGTCATTCCAAAAAAAGCATTAAGATCATCCATCATGGTGATTTATTGTGAGATATTTTATCTTCTGCTTCTCTCTCTACTATTTATTAGGTACCTTTAACATTTTTTTGCTTGATATTTTTGGCTCTCTATTTTTAGCTTTAAAGCTTTATTAGGTACCTCTAACATTTTTTGCTCTGTTATCGGATGACGTAGTGTGTTCTGATCATTCCGTGGCCGCACAGAATAATTTATCCTTCTAGAAATATCTCTATTATCTTTTGAACATATATATTTGTGTATTTTTTTCTTTATTTTGACTTAGTTGAGCTTAATCTCTCATATTTTTCAAAAAAAAAAAAAAAAAATCCTTTGTTTCTTATAAGAGATTGTCAGGGACTAAACCTTGAGATCTCTCCCTCTTCACCATAAACGAGGATTTTATCCATATAAAACTCATTAAGCTCGACAAACAAGCAAGCCATTAATTCAATTCTCCCATCTCAAAGCAATCCTCTCTCTTTCCCGTTAATCCTACTACTACTTACTCGCTTGATCTAATTTTCCATATCATTATTTCCCAATCTTAGCTCTTCAACTCCTTCCTCACCAAGAAGATTTTGCTGTTAACTTTTGCTATTTACCTGTATCAATCAAGCTACTTCAGAGATCTAAAACTTGTTTTGTTTCTTACTTTCTTTCCATTTTGATTGGAAGTTCAAATAATTTAGAAGAAATGAGAAATCTGAACCAGTTCACAAGGTTTGGATTCAAGAATGGAGTTTTTTCCTTCATCTTCCTCCTCTCCATTCTCACACTTTTTCTCAGCATAACCACTCTCTGCATATTCTACCCTCAGAACCCCCTCTCCTTCAGCAACTCATTTGGAGATCAAACTACAGGTCAAGGAGGCTCCATCCAGCTCTTAGACTCCATTATAGAGAAGCTTGTGGATCATATGAGAGCAGTAGAGAATTCAACAATAAGTTCTGGAGAGCATTCTGAGCTCAATGATATGAGGCTCAAGCACACAGCTTTCCTTGCAGAGATTTTAGGCCTTGCAGGATCACTGAAGCTATCACTAACTCGAGAAAAAGAAGATTTTCATCAACAACAAAGAACTCCATCAACAGATACTCATCCTCTGTCAAGAAGCAATGGAAGCCTCGACGAAACCGCCGAGTTCTTCCTCACAGAAGAGATAAGAAAATATATGAAGATTAAGCCCAACAGACTTGGAAAGCAGAATTTCATGGGAGCCAATGGGACCTTCATGAGCATAGGCCATGCCTGCTTCTCACTCAAGGAAGAGCTAGAAGAGTACATGGACTATGATGTTGGAGATTTCTGCAAGGATGATTGGAAACAAGCACAGAGACTAATGGTTCTTGGCTGTGATCCTTTGCCAAGGAGAAGGTGCTTTGCTAGAGCTCCCAAGCTATATTCCAAGCCACTTCCCATCAATGAATCAATTTGGAACCTTCCCGACGACCGAAACGTCCGTTGGAGCGGCTATCGCTGCAAAAACTTCGCCTGCCTCGCCGCGAATCGGACCGGCAAAGGCTTCTTTAAATGCTCAGATTGCTTCAACCTCACTCACCATGAAAGGCTCAGGTGGATGCAGCTTAACACTTCTGATTTTCTCATAGAAGAAGTGTTAAGTATCAAGCAAGGGGAGATCAGAATTGGGTTGGATTTCAGTGTTGGAACAGGAACTTTTGCTGCTAGGATGAAGGAATTTGATGTTACAGTGATTTCTGCTACTATAAATCTGGGTGCTCCATTTAGTGAGATGATTGCTTTGAGAGGATTTGTTCCTCTCTACTTGACCATAAATCAGAGGCTTCCTTTCTTTGATAACACTCTTGACTTGATTCACAGCACCCGATTTCTCGACGGATGGATCGATTTCATCTTGTTGGATTTCGTACTGTACGATTGGGATCGTGTTCTGAGGCCTGGAGGATTATTATGGATTGATAGTTTCTTTTGCAAGAACAAGGACCTGGAAGATTATTTGGATGCTTTTAGGATGTTGAGGTATAAGAAACACAGGTGGGTTGTGGTGCCAAAGTTGGATAAAGATGGAGAGGAGGTTTTCTTCTCTGCCTTGCTGGAGAAGCCACCAAGGCCATTCTGATCATGTAATGTTTTGAGGTTTTGATGGTCATGGTTCTATATCTGTACAAAGTTTGTGATGAGCAGTTGGTCAGGAATGGGACCAATTGTTCTATGCGGACACTGGATGAAGTGAACTATTCAGATTTGCAGCGCTTTTACTATCTTTGGGCGCAACAAAAAGGCAACAAATATTTAATATTTGTTGCGCTTTCGCTCCAGTTTTGCAAAAAAATAATAAAAATACAATCATAATTGAATATTTGCTGTCATTTTATTTTTCAAAAACGTAGCAAAATGACAACAAAATGGCAGCAAATCCAAACGGTTCTGCACAGAATAATTTCTCCAAGAATGGGAGGGATTATTACGTGCGGAATTCGGATGTAAGATGTTCCCGGATTTTGTAATGGTACACAACAAATATATAGTAAATACACAGTTTTGTAAGGAATTGTGTATTTACTATGTACCTTCATAAGTCCGGACGGTCCAAACTCCGCAGAAAATAATCTCTCAAAAAATGGAAGGATGAGTCTCTGTGGATTTATTTTTATTTAAAATGTTTTAAGATTTAGTTTATGAACAAGAGGAATACATAAATGAATTATTGTTATTTAATAAAAGATGCACCATGTTGCCTTCGTAGCAGTGTTGTGAGATAAAGGCTTCATGTTGTTGTCGTAGTATCAAAAAAAAAAAAAGACTTAGTTTGGGATGATTTTTTTACTGCTTCTTGAAGTGGCTTTCTAGTATAAAATTTTATAATTTTTTATTAAAAAGCTATTTTAAGAAGTAGGAAGAAAGTCGTCCCAAACGAAATCTTAGAGTGGGCAATCATTCACATTGGGCTTACGTGTGGTTTGTCTGTGGGTACTAAACTATCTGTCTAGAATGCCATAACAAGATGGTTTAATATTTTAGAAAAGTTTGGGAATTAGTAATGTAGTTGTTGAAAAAATTACGTGAGACTATTGGTTATGAAGATTTCAGACACCGTCAATTCAACCAATCATTTATACGTTGCTCGACTAGATTAATTATTTTGTGCAGATGCCGAACGTTGTTTGGAGACCAATCAGAATACGCCACATCACCCCTGTGCTCGGTACTGTGGCTCGGTACCGCTGACGTGGCGCATTCTGATTGGTCTTCAGACTGCGTTCTACGTCCGGCCTCTACACAGCATAATTTTTAACCCATAATCTTGGAGCAACCTTAGTTAACTTGAAACAAGCTTGCCTTTCTTCCGCTATTGTGATATCATATGAGGAAAACTTTCATGCCATGTTGAAGAGGAATTCTCTTTGAAGGATATGAATCATGCATGATAATTTTTTAGTTTTTTTTTTTTTTCACATAAAAATTTTGATATCTTATTAAGTAGTTTTATCTAAGAGTATAAATATTTGACACGACTCAAAAATCCAACCCGAACCCGACGCAAAAATTCCTGGTTAGGATCAACCCATTTGAGAAACAGGTAGAGTTCGTGTTTAAGATTTTGACCCGTTTGTAAAACCAAGTAGCGTTAACGTTGATCTGGAAACCCGAAACCAGCTCGGGTTGACCCAGGAACCACGTCTGCCGTCTCATCTCGTTGACACCCAACTGCATGAGTGCGACAGTGCGTGACCGCGTTAGACCTCACGAGAGTGCCTAACCGCATCTGACGTCTCGTCACGTGAGAGGCTGAGAGCCAAACGTCATCCTGTGTTGTCGTCCGCCAGCGCTGGACGGGAACATCATCCCGTCCCATGTGGTCTTCCGTTGACGTCATCTGCGTTGGCCAGACCTGCAGGGTTGCACTGCCGTTGTACCTCTGGTCGTCTGTCGACGTCGCCAGTTCGCCTGGCTCAGGTATTGCATACGAATGCACATGATCCTAACCTGTGCAGGCATGGTCCGGTCGGTTCAACCCGGTAACTAAGACGAGTCGAGTCCGGGTTGACAATCCTAACCCATTTGTAAAATCAAGTCATATTATGGTCAACCTGTTTGAACATGGATCAACTCGGGTTGGACCTAAATCCTACTCGTCAACCCATTTTGATACCCCTACTTTTATCCATATATGTTGGTTATTCAAATAAAAATAAGACACAGAACATACTCTATTATAACTAATATTTTAGCACACAACTATTATTATTATTATTATTATTATTATTATTCTTATATGATACGTGTAGAATTTTAATGTTTAAGAACATGCAACAGAAGGAACATTGCTGTTCATTGCATGGTAAAGTTAAATACATTCATTTGAAAATATCTTATATACAGTATCAAAAATAAAAATAAACTACCTTTTCAATCTTGTTAGTACACATGTGTAATTAATTAATTAATCCTGTTATTTTGACATAAATAAGTAGTTTTAGGTTGTAAAATAATTAGTTGTAATCAATTGGAGTTTTATGTAAATGGTACTATAGCAACATGCACGCTTAATAGTGCAGAAGACAACTAATACGGATAAAGGGGACACGAAAAGAATACTGATAAAGCTTATTATATAAAGATTCTGAAGTGAATAGTCACATTTGTTTGCAAAAAAAAATGTTTTTTTTTTTTTTTTTTTTTTTTTTGACAATAATGAGGGGGAAAATAGAAATTTATTTTACATATATTAATTTTTTATTACAGATTGTTTTGCCACATTGCATAAATACCTTATTGATAATTAAAGCTAATTAATATTAAAATATGATGTGAAATAATTTGATTTGTATATTTTTACTGTATCACTAGAACATAAAGGCATGATTTCCTACAGATATTTTTAATAGTAAAGTTTAGGATAATTTTTTTACAACCTTTTAAATCAATCTTTTAGCACATTTTTTTTCAAAAAAAAAAAAAAATTTGAACTAAAAAATTATTTTATAAAGCCTAAGAGTTTCAGAATTCCATGAAGCAGCCTCCACTTGGAAACAAAAATGTAGGAAGAAATAAAAAAGAATCATATTGTACCATAATAATCATTTCCGATTCATGTTATTGGAATTCAAAATTTCAATTGAAATCAACAGAGTAAAAATCAGCTGCTACAGAAGATGAGTATAACTGCTATGAATTCTTGGAGATTCATTCTGCAGAATTTGAAAGGCAGAGCTGAAAAGATTTGTAAAGCCAGAGGATACAGTAGAGATTCATAATTCACATGAAACTTTGATACACTACTATTGTTAGATCGCATGTTCTCGATGAGAACAATTGACGATTGTGTTAGTTAGTTGACAGTCATGGTAAAAATTAACGAATAATCATGATACAAATCATTTAATATATAGAGTTTCTTGTAGTGGCATACAAGTAGGATGCTGTTGTTATATGATATGACTTTGATATATGAGGGAAATGTCAAAAAGGTGTAGTAGTTCATTCCTGCATGTATCCTCCACCAAAATTTGATGAGTATGGGGAACTCATATGTCGGATAGGGGTGTTAATTCGAGTCAACGGGTCGGGTTCTGGTCGAACCCGACTTGACTCGGCCTTAAACGGGTCGACACTAACCCAACCCGGTTTTGCAAACTAGTCAGGATTGTCAACCCATACCTGACCCGTGCGGGTTACCAGGTTGAACTGACTCGACCCGCAAGGGAGGGATAGCGACATTTGGCTCTCCGCTCTCAGGCGAGACGGCGACAGGCCAGCAGAGCGCGGGACGGCGACAGGCATCTTCGACTATACAGCTCGCGGGGGTCAGCAGCAGCTCGCAGTCGTACAACGGTAGCTCGCGGGCATCTTCGACTCTTCGGGCGTTCGGCTTTGCAGCAGCACGGGACAGCGCATCGGCGGCAGCGGCCAACCGGCCGACAGTGATGACAAGACACGACTGAGACGCGAGATGCTAGCACGACTGTGACACGACTGATTAAGTGATTAAAGTGACATCCGGGTCAATTCGGGGCTACCTACGGGTTTTCGGGTCAACCGAAACCTGACCAATTTTTCAAACGGGTCAAAAATTTGAACCCGGACCCGACCTGTTTCACAAACGGATTGAACCAAACCTGAATTTTTTCGGGTCGGGCAATTTTTTGCACCCCTAATGTCGGACAAGCCGGAGAGTGCTCGATGCTAGAGCGTGGGAGCTGACTTTGCACAAAACACGAGAAATTGTGGTGGGGATACATGCACGCTCAACTCCTTTAATATACTGCGATTGTGAAAATTTAAATGCACTTAAGCCCTTGTTATAATCTATTCTCATATAGAGAAGCGTTTTGGCATTCCCTAGATCTTTCATGCCAAACTCTAACAACTATCATTTCAAGTTTTTGACCTTTTGAATGTCAACCCCAATAATTAACATATTATCCACCTACAATAACAGAATAAGACATTCTTTTGTCGTGCACTTACTATAGTAGCAATAATCAACATTCCATTTATGAAAATTGATCTTTTTACTATCTATTCTCATCTGTGAACAACCTGCAAGCAAGTTTGAATCTATAGCTGTGAATATTGCTGCAATGTACTCCCTATAAAAGCACGATGTGATATGTAGCAGCGACTTTGGTTTTAATTGTTTTTCGTCCTTCAAGGTGGTTTCTACTTCTTGTAAAAAAAAAAAAACTTACATGAATGATGGAATAGAATTTAACTTTGATATGCATATTATGTTTTGGTTACTTTATTTTGTTTCAGAGTCATCAAGTTGCCTTCTCTATTTATTCTTGTTACTCCAAATGAGGATGACATATTTGATTTGTAGCCTACAATAAAATAAAAGAAAATTTTCGGCATGAATCATTTTCGTATTTTCAATAAAGCTATAAAAATGGATTCATTTTAATTCCTTTTGCTAATTATACTATAGATGATAAAAAATTAGACGAACCAGATTTATTCACATGATACACAAAACAAAGCCATCTCTAGGATTTTGTCAATCCTTTGGTATATTTTCTCTGTTACCTATCTTTTCTTGATCAGAATGAGACCAAATTTTCTACAGGTTAGATTCATCCAATAAGAACGTTTGTTACACCAGCTTACATAATTTAAATTCTACTTCTGAAGTTTGCAATTTTTTGACACGTTCTG